CATGATTTTCTCAGTTTTACGCTAGCTAAAAATTAGTAGTAAAACAACAGGTTATCTGCAGATGTTACTTGTTTACTCTAAATAGTTTGAGGGGTAAAATTAAAAAAAAAAAAACCATTTTTCTAGTTTTAGGAGAGATCTCTATCACAGGTTATCTATATCGAATATCATCGGTTTGACTAAATAATATAGTTCATATGTGGATTCGAATTTGGCATGATATTGTGAGTTTAATTTGAATTTATAGTTATTATTAATATTATTTATTAAAAATAAATTTATATTTTAAATGGAAGTAAAACAATCTTTTGAACAATTTTAACTGAATAAATTTTTGGAAATTTAAAATTACACTATTCTAATTCAAGAAATTATGTCGAAACTTATTTAAAAAGAAGAATAAATAAATAAATAATACTTTATATAAAAGAGAAAAACTATAAATTTCATTTTTTAAAATATTTATTATTCAAAAATTAGGCTCAAAAGTTAGAACTAGAAGTTAAATAATAAGCATTCGAGTACTTAAGATGAAACAAATATTAATCGATTAACTTCTGATTCTAGATTTTGACTCTGAAATGTGAATATTAATGTAAATTAAATTTGTACTGATTTTATTTACAGTCATGTAATTAAAGAATTCAAGTTTATTACAGTTGTCTCTAATTTAAATTATTTAAAAAGTTATCTAGTATAATTTACTTTCTTAGGTATGCATCAAAACGTTAGTTAAATCTTTGATAATATTTGTTTATTGATAATTTCGACAATTAATTTTTTTCTATTTGCTGTTAAAGTAAATTTGATATTGAAAAAATAAAATAACTTTAGTGAAATTGCAATTTTTTTTCATAATAATGATTTGATAAATTATTAGAAGTTGATTATCCTTCTTGTATCTTAATGACATATTTTATAGGTCATACGGTTTGTAAATTAGAATCCTGGACATCTAAATTTACATTAATAATATCTCTAAATTACTAGAAAGCGATATCAGACACATAATTTTCTAGTAATTTACAGAGATTTTTAATGTAAACTTATTCATGTAGATATATAAAGTATAGGTAGCCATTTCCACATACAAATATAAAAAAAGATGTATAGCTATATAAAGTTTAATATCCTATAAACTTTAATTTTTTTAATTAAGAATTTTATTTAATAATAGTAATATAATATGAGAGTACAGAACACTTAAATAATTTTAATAGCTATAAAAGTTTTAATGATATTACTTATTTTGTATATTCAGGTCTGATAAACGATAATTTATAAATAATAGTTATAAATAAATAATATTATTTATAATTTATAAAATTATTAAAAGAATATTTATTATTATTAAATGAAAAAAATGAGAATCATTCGCATGTTCAAAAGAAAATATTAAAAATAAACTTATTTTTATTCATGAAAAATATATTTTACATTATAATAGTAATAGCTGATTAATAAAAAAAAAGTATTTTAAGCCTTCATAAATTTTTTTCCATAAATTAATATAGAATTTACAAATAAATAAACTCATAAAACTTAATGAAGAAAGTAATAAAAATACGACTTATAAAATAGCATTATAATTTGGGAAAAATTTATTTAAATCATTAATTGTTTACTGTTAATGAAAATTTTAAGTTTTTCTAGGAATTTTTCACTTTTAAATATTTTTCAAAAAATAAACTTTATAACTATATGCATAATATTTTATTTATTTTGTAATTAAATATTCCAACTAATAAAATTTTTTACCGGATTAAATTTCATTTAAAAATAAGTATGATCGTAAATTTTTAAATTAAATAACAACCTTCTTGTTCGCATTTATTCAATGAATTACTAGTAAAATTCTCCTTAAAAGTTTGATGACTCTCCTATTAATTCCGTGCAAAGTAATTTTTCATTCATGATTTGAGTTTTTTCTTTTTTTTTTTTCATTAACCCGCTTAGCCAGTTTGTATCAGATTGAATTTTTTATTTATTTATTTTTTAAACTACTAGCACACGAGGCACCTTATCTCTCCACTTACATTCTGTACACTAGTTTTCTTAGCGTAAATTATCTAGATACAAAACACTATAGACCCAATACAATGTTGTAATTAGGTTAGTTAAATAAAATAACTATTAAATATTTGTATTAATTGATTATTTAAGTACAATGCGATCACTGGATGAGCAATGATAACAAAAATTCATTTTTTTTTCACCTTAGTATATGATTAAATGGAGAGAAAAAAAAATTAAATAAACTATCCAAATTCACTTGTGTTTAAATTGTAAAAGACGTAGTTGGATATAATCTACGTCCGGAATAAAGAAAAAAATGTGAATGATACAATTATCGGCAAACTTTAAAGAATTGCAAGCAGACTCCATAATTAGCTGGAGGATCGCGTGATCACGTTCAATTTTTTTTAATCACGTTTCTTATTTTCAATAGTACTTTCGCTTTTTATGGCTTGGTATTCGTATAATTGTAATAAGTCTCACAAGTAAGAAGCAAATAGGCATGAGATTGGTAAGTGGATCACTTCATAAATGCCTATATAGTATATTTGAAGCAGTAATAAATTTTGTAAGGTTAATTTAAATAAATATTCGCTTTAATTTTGAGGAAAATGTATTAAATTATTAGTAAAATAAAATGATTTATTCCACTAACTTTAATTATAGGCCTTTAAATATGTATAAATTAATTTTTTTTTTGAATATTTATTAGTTTGTTATCAGTTGGTAAAGGATATAAATTTTATATTTATACAGTTTATTTATTTAAAATATTATAAATAATAAGATTATGCTGATACTTATTTAATGTCGGAGGAAATCTTAGTTTTAAGAATAGAAAAAAAAAAAANTCGATTAACTTCTGATTCTAGATTTTGACTCTGAAATGTGAATATTAATGTAAATTAAATTTGTACTGATTTTATTTACAGTCATGTAATTAAAGAATTCAAGTTTATTACAGTTGTCTCTAATTTAAATTATTTAAAAAGTTATCTAGTATAATTTACTTTCTTAGGTATGCATCAAAACGTTAGTTAAATCTTTGATAATATTTGTTTATTGATAATTTCGACAATTAATTTTTTTCTATTTGCTGTTAAAGTAAATTTGATATTGAAAAAATAAAATAACTTTAGTGAAATTGCAATTTTTTTTCATAATAATGATTTGATAAATTATTAGAAGTTGATTATCCTTCTTGTATCTTAATGACATATTTTATAGGTCATACGGTTTGTAAATTAGAATCCTGGACATCTAAATTTACATTAATAATATCTCTAAATTACTAGAAAGCGATATCAGACACATAATTTTCTAGTAATTTACAGAGATTTTTAATGTAAACTTATTCATGTAGATATATAAAGTATAGGTAGCCATTTCCACATACAAATATAAAAAAAGATGTATAGCTATATAAAGTTTAATATCCTATAAACTTTAATTTTTTTAATTAAGAATTTTATTTAATAATAGTAATATAATATGAGAGTACAGAACACTTAAATAATTTTAATAGCTATAAAAGTTTTAATGATATTACTTATTTTGTATATTCAGGTCTGATAAACGATAATTTATAAATAATAGTTATAAATAAATAATATTATTTATAATTTATAAAATTATTAAAAGAATATTTATTATTATTAAATGAAAAAAATGAGAATCATTCGCATGTTCAAAAGAAAATATTAAAAATAAACTTATTTTTATTCATGAAAAATATATTTTACATTATAATAGTAATAGCTGATTAATAAAAAAAAAGTATTTTAAGCCTTCATAAATTTTTTTCCATAAATTAATATAGAATTTACAAATAAATAAACTCATAAAACTTAATGAAGAAAGTAATAAAAATACGACTTATAAAATAGCATTATAATTTGGGAAAAATTTATTTAAATCATTAATTGTTTACTGTTAATGAAAATTTTAAGTTTTTCTAGGAATTTTTCACTTTTAAATATTTTTCAAAAAATAAACTTTATAACTATATGCATAATATTTTATTTATTTTGTAATTAAATATTCCAACTAATAAAATTTTTTACCGGATTAAATTTCATTTAAAAATAAGTATGATCGTAAATTTTTAAATTAAATAACAACCTTCTTGTTCGCATTTATTCAATGAATTACTAGTAAAATTCTCCTTAAAAGTTTGATGACTCTCCTATTAATTCCGTGCAAAGTAATTTTTCATTCATGATTTGAGTTTTTTCTTTTTTTTTTTTCATTAACCCGCTTAGCCAGTTTGTATCAGATTGAATTTTTTATTTATTTATTTTTTAAACTACTAGCACACGAGGCACCTTATCTCTCCACTTACATTCTGTACACTAGTTTTCTTAGCGTAAATTATCTAGATACAAAACACTATAGACCCAATACAATGTTGTAATTAGGTTAGTTAAATAAAATAACTATTAAATATTTGTATTAATTGATTATTTAAGTACAATGCGATCACTGGATGAGCAACGATAACAAAAATTCATTTTTTTTTTCACTTTAGTATATGATTAAATGGAGAGAAAAAAAATTAAATAAACTATCCAAATTCACTTGTGTTTAAATTGTAAAAGACGTAGTTGGATATAATCTACGTCCGGAATAAAGAAAAAAATGTGAATGATACAATTATCGGCAGACTTTAAAGAATTGCAAGCAGACTCCATAATTAGCTGGAGGATCGCGTGATCACGTTCAATTTTTTTTAATCACGTTTCTTATTTTCAATAGTACTTTCGCTTTTTATGGCTTGGTATTCGTATAATTGTAATAAGTCTCACAAGTAAGAAGCAAATAGGCATGAGATTGATAAGTGGATCACTTCATAAATGCCTATATAGTATATTTGAAGCAGTAATAAATTTTGTAAGGTTAATTTAAATAAATATTCGCTTTAATTTTGAGGAAAATGTATTAAATTATTAGTAAGGAAACCTTAACAGTACTTTTAGTTTCAAAATTAATTTTAAAATCAAATCTTACTTTTGGCTTCTGATTGCCAATCGTATAATTGAGGGAGCGTATCTATAACAATTCCAATGAGTGGTAAATACAGAGCAGCTACTCTTGCTTTATATTCTGGTTCAGCAAACCTTGGATCCCAGTCATGACATGTTAACAAATTACGAATAGTATTGACAGCTTTTGCGTGAACAGCCGGATTACTTGATAAAATAATAAAAAAACTAATTTATAATAAAAAGCCTTACAAATTTTTAGTTTAAGAAATTATAAAAAACATACTTAATTTCTAAAACTGTTGCAAGATCTGACAATACAAGACCAACTAGAAAATGTTGCTGACGAAACTCCACAGAAAGTTCAGCAAAATTCCCTTTTTCTGTAAGAGTACTTGTTGATACAAATGAACTTTGTGAAATTGATGATGCTACACTTGGACATGGAGATGTTGCTGGTGAGGGACTAACTGGTGTTGCAAAAGGCAAGTTTAATGTAACAAAATGTTCATGACTACAAATAATCCTTAAAAATTCAAGTTTTAAGGTGATAAGATGCCCAGCATCTGGCAGAGATGATATCTTAGCTGACATTTGCTTACAGTAAGTCTGTTAAATACAATAAATAATACTAAGTTAAAAACATGAAGTAAAAACTATTTATAATATGTCATAATTAAATGTAATACAAAAATCTATTCCATAAATTTACTTTCATGTAATACATAGTCATTTACATATATAATTTATATGTAAATATATATTTTTAAAAATTAATATTTTATATTTAGAAAGTATTTTTAGAGAACTTGACAAACTTTATTTTTAGTTATGCTATTCATTTTGTATTAATTAAAATATATTATGTTTTCCTGATGACAGATTGGAATCTGATAAAAATATACAGTGGGTGATCAGTTAACGAACAGTTCAGATAGCGAGCAAAATNCATATAAATTTGAATATTAAAATTTATATTGACAAAGAAATGAGATTGTATCTAAGCAGGTTAGGTTCGCTTGTGGTAAAATGCAGAATAAACGCTTGACTTCTCAGAAATTCTTTGCCCGTCTCGGATGCTTTACCATATCCCATGATAGTTAGAACAAGATTTGAGATGGACACAAAACAAGACACGCTCATAATAAATGTGTGAGTATTCATTGTCATGGTATACCGGATACTTTTGTTCACATGGTATCATATTAAATACCGGAAGTTCAGGATAGTTTTATAGTGGCATTGATGTGATAATTGGTGTGCTAAATTATGTACGATGGAAACATATTTAAAAAATGAATTGCTTCATTGTTTTAAGTTATTCGCAATGTGTTAACACCGATTCACGAGTAAAAATTAAAATATTTTGTTAAATAAATCCATAAAGTTCATATTAGCTATTAAAATTTCTTAATCATTGATTAACCATAACGATATGGGATAGCGTGAAATATTGTTATATTTCATGCATATGCATTTTCATTCTTGAGGAATAATCCACAATTTTTAGAAGAAACAAAATGACATAACACGAAGTTGACATCCTGTCTCCCACATTTATTTGTTAAGTGAGCCACACCTCACTGATCTTGACATGATCATTAAGTATCTGACCTTTCTGTCCAGTGCGTTGTCATAAACAGTTGCTAGGACCTCTACTGATGTTTGATGCATAATTTAGATACCAACCAGTATACCGGTAACGTATTTAAAATCGAATTATTAATCATAACTTTGTTATCAATGTATCCTCGTGGAGCCAAAAGATATGTTTGATCAGCAAAATCGCTTGAGTATAAACAATGATTTTTCTCGTAAGAAATTTAAAACGGAAGTTTAGATTTATTTGATAAATATCAACATCGAAATGATAAAGACATCTAATAAAGCAAACTTAAAATGTTTCCTGTTTTAATGGAGAAATTAATTTGCTGAAGGGTGTAAAATGAGAACAGGAAGATGTGCATTTATTTATTAATCACGCGATTTGTATAAATAATTTAAAATATAAAATAAACAATTTTTCATAAATAATTTATTTATTAAATAAAATTATTTTTAAGATTAAATCTATCTATTTTACAGAAGTTTTTTAAATTTTATGGTCTAATAGGTTTGTTTACTCGTGGGTCATTAATCTGTTATCTGTAATATGTAAACTTAATATTGATCTTACAATTGATTAAATTTGATTGAAAATAAATAAATTCCATTTTCATTTATAAATAGAGCATAATTCTATTAAAGTTATAAAAATATACTAGCACAATTCAAAACAAAAAAATTAAATTTATTTTATCTGCATTGGAACTCATCTGTGCTAACAATACAAAAATATTTATTTATTGCATCAGTACTGTACAAAATTAATCTGAACATTACTAAGTCCTAAATTATAATTAAATTTTTATTTCTTTAACGTATAGAAATTTTAATTACAGTATAATGCAAATGATGATAATCGTTGGATATAAATTCTGTTAACAGATATTAATAATAACAACTGACTAATATAAGATTAATATTAATTAAGTTAAACAGAATAAGTATAATTTTAATTTAATCTATGTGAAGTGTTAATGAATAATATAATATTTGCAATTTCTTTAAATTAACAAGAAAAATATTAAAAAGATACTTTCCCTGTTTCGTTTTATCCTTTCTGATAATTAAGCATACATTTACTTAAAAATTAACTGTAAATTCTCTTCTTCTTACTACTTATATGGAAGTCAAGTCAGTCTAACTATATTTTACGACTGTGCTTTTTTATATGTAGCTATTTTAAAATAATTGTATTGATTTTTCATTGTTAAGAACATAAAATCTTATATAAACGCACCATTTCTCGTTTATTTACGTTGAAATCTGAAATTATGAAAACAATAAAAAGTATATTTATTATGTATAAATTGCCTACAATTTCCGAATATTTCATAAAAGATAAAGTAGTATTATTTTTTAATAAATCAAATATTAAGGATTTATATAAAGATAATATTAAAGATATAATATCTTAAAATCAAAACAATATTCTCAAAGTTGAATAACAACACGTGAAAGGAAAAACTGATCATGAATCAGTAATTTCGACTTTAATAATTTATATTTAAATGTTCTTGTAATTATAAATTAATTACAAATAGCAAAATATCAAATTTTCAGGAAAACAATTCGGAATCAGTTTTCTATTAACCAAAATTATTAAATTTTCCTACAAAAGTTTTAGCATTTAAATAGAATTTCAAATATAAAGTTTTATTAAAGCTTTAATGATTTAATCGTAAATATATTAAAAACAATAATATAAATACTATTACATNAATTTTTTTATTTTATCACTTCGTTCTTTTATTTTCAATTATTTAAATTACGAAAATTAAGGTATAACAATTTTGTCTGTCTGTCACGCTCTCCGTTTCTGTAATAAATTGCTGTACACTATTGAAATCTTGTATACAAATTATGGAGATCCGATTTTATTTAAAAAAAATAATAATAATAATAAATATAATAATAAAGAGTCTAGAGCTAATATTAAGTACTGTACTTAACTTATTGAAGCATGTTTTATAATCTTAGTTTAAATAAATAAGCTAATTTCGAATAGTTTATAACTGAAAATTATGTAATGACAGGACTGAATTTTTCTGTTTAAACAATACTAGTTGTATAATTTAATTACTTAAGTACTCTTAACACAATGCTCTATATAATTTATGTGAAATTGTTACATACTCGTTGCATAATATATCAAAGATAACTACGAAATATAAATATATTTTTAAAAATATAAGTTAAATTAGTTTAAAAGGCGCATTTTTAGCGATTTTTATTTAGAGCATAATAACTTTAGAATAAGTAAAATAATATAAAATAATTACATGCAAAATAAAGACATATAAAAATGGTAGCTGTTTTGTGACAACTTAAAACGCGCAAATTAGTACCAATGAAAAAATTGGAACTAGTTGTAGCTTAATATATTCGAGCTAAACTGAAACGCAAAAGGTATATCTGTTTCTATGGAAAAGTATTCTAATGGACTGTTGGTAGCCTAATTGTTACGTTAAGAAATCTGGATAGTCATCTTCCTTGTGAATTTTCAATTTAGTTACGTTCTCGATTTGTTTTTGTCCACTCTATCTTGGCAGAAAACAAGTCTTAAAAGCATTCCTGTTTTCTAATGGAATGTAGCAAAACGAGAGAAGGACAAGATGAAATCCAACGAAGCCTGAAAGTCACTGAACACAAATCGTGCTGCAACTGTTTCAGGTATGTGAAATATAGTAATTCATTGGACACGTGCAACGGAAAGTCACCCAAGCAGGGCTGCGTCTTCCACTTCTCACGCCAACAATTGTCATACCGGGAATGTTTGACCTTCAAATAACTCGGGTTCAGCACTTGCGAGGGAGTGATGCCTCCTAAATACTTCTTTAATGGTTTCGAATTTGAACAGAATAAAAAAAAAGTGAAGAAAATAAAGGAAACATACAATCAATGTCCAAATATAGAACATACTCTCTTCCATTCAGCTCTGTTTGGGTGTATTTAGAGAGTAGTTCTGTTAAGAAGAAGTTTATGATTTGGTTGCTCGAATGTATAACAAAATATTATTAATATTTATGAAAGCTGTTGATATTAATAAGTGTTAAAGCGTATGAAATTTCCAAGAAAGAAATTAAAAATTCTAAATTCTAAATAGGCCTAATCAATCAGCAGTATTTTAATTAGACATAGCAGTCATAAATGATTCATTGCTTGTCTAATTTGAATTTTGAAGAGACGTAATGCAGTATATAAGTATTAATTCTCTCCTTCGTTTAATCTATTGTAGAGTTTAACTTAAGCTCTAGCTTAAGAGATACAGATTATTTTATTTTAGATCTATTGATTAGCCATTTTTTTAAATCTAGAAATGATTTAATGTAATTTGTTTACTTTTTCGTTATATCTAAAATAATCTTTTTGATTCTTACCAAAAGTTTATCTTAAATATAAATTAAAATAACAAATTTTATGCTATCTTTAATAAGATTTTAAGTAATTATTAACTTTAAATGAAGTAACTATTCAAGACTAATTAAAATTACATTTAAATTTTCTTAAATCTAATTGTATTTATTTGAGAAAAATCATTAAGATTATTCTAATTAACGTATATAAAATGTAATTAATTATGTTCGATAATCCAACTAGGAAAATATTTCGATGCGTGCCTTTGTTATAATTAGATCCATTATAAAATTGCGAGTCATTAGTAACTATGTGCTCTTATCAGATGAAAAGAGGTATTTTGCAATTGTTCTTATATTTTATGATTAATTCATCTTAAAATTTTAAGTCAATATATTATTAAAATTTAATAAATAAAAAAGAATAAAGCGGATATGTTGGAGAGTTATTAATATATATATATAAACCTTGGAATTACAATAAGAAAATTTTAATTTATCTTATTATTAGACACAATTAATACGCAAAAATATTATTTATAAATTTATTGAAAAAGATATCCGGAAATTATTAACCTGTATAACTAATTCATAAAATACTTTAATCCTTCTGAAATGACATAAAAAATCATATACTAAAAATCTTTACACAAATAACATCTATCAATGTATTGTCTGTCTGATGTCTGTCTGCATCGTAACGTAAAAACTACAAAAGTATCATTACTAGAATTTTTTTATTAAAAAACTTAATTACTCAAGATTTTACATCAAGTATCTAAGATTTTATACATATTATATATTCTATATATATCTATCCAAAATGTATGTAATATATATGTTATATATTAGTATAATTTATTTCTAAAATAATTATCTATATCAATTAAATCTGGACTTATATTTAAAACATTAAGCATACACACAATTATTGTTAATTTGATTTACAGTTTAAAATACTGTAAACCAAATTAACAATAATTCTGTGTATGCTTAGCTAATGTTTTAAATATAGGTCCAAATTTAATTGATACTTTAATTTATTCCTAAGATGATAATTATCTATAATTTTTAAACTGGTTTCACTATAGAGTTTTTTTATATTTAGATATATTTTTTTGCAATTTGTTACCATTATCCATCTTTATGTAGTTTTATAAGAAAAACAAATAATATAAAGAAAACAATTTTAAT